GTTTTGGAAGACTTTCAAAGCAGTGTGATTTGCCATCGTAGCCTGTTATTCCGAAGAAAAAGACAAACAGCCTAGTAGCCCTAGGGTCAAGTTTAATAAAGTAGCTTTTTGGACTGTCAATTAAGTTTAGCTTTTTTGTTCTCTCATTGTATTCTGTTATTAGAATTATGCATTTATAGGAACGTTTACGTATTACCCATGATAATTTAAGATGTACTGTTTTCATAGACATTTTGTATAGTTTCTGTATTTTAAATTGGCTGAAAACACTATCATATATTTTGTCGTTTCAGATTTATGAAGGAACAGCTCAAATTCAGAGAGTAATTATAGTTCGTGAACATATTGCCAAGTTTAAAGGTTGAGAGTACTCCTGATGTGCATTAGCCTGATTTACAAATGTTCGGTTTTTTCTCTGGTGCATTACTTTTAATATTGGACAAAAATGGCCTCAGCAGTAGTAGTGTCAAATCTTAAGTACATGAAAAAGCCAGTCACTTAACTTCTAGAACTATTCAGGAGATTTCTTTAGTGATTTCACATTTTTGCCCCACTTTATCATGACGTGGTTATCTCTGTCCTCTGAAATCTCTCTAGCGTATTTAAAGTGCCTTGGATTTTTGTAATTGAACAGGCCACTGATATAAATTAGATGAAGAATTTGGTACAAAGTTGAAATTTTGGGAGCCATGTGTAAATTAGATATTGTTAGGTCTGTATTGCAGCAATTACTAAATATTATATATTGAGTACAAGATTAAAAATAAATTTATTATAGATAAATTAATTGTACTGCCTGTAGTTGGATCCATAAAGAATATAGAAGAGTTACTTTTGTTCTACAGAACAGAATGAAGTTTAATGAAGACTCCTTGCTGAAAGATGCACAAAAATACATTTATCCCAATTTCCTTTCCCATGCCTTATCTCCACTGACTGGAGTGTATTTCAACCCTCTAGGATAAATTTTCAGGATGCTGTAGAGGAAGAAAAGAAACATATAGAAAATATATGACACTGGTGCCTGTGTGTTTGACTATAGCAGACTTAAATGTAATGTAATACAGGTAGTCCTTGACCTACAACCATTTGGTCAGTGACTGTTCCAAGTTACGATGGCGCTGAACAAATGGTGGTTACAGCCAGTCCTCCAAGTTCTGGCCATCCCAGCACCCCATAGTCACATGATCACAATCATCACTTGCAACCTTCTCTGCCAGCTTCCCCAGTCAGTGAGGAAACCAGCAGGGAAAGTCACAAGTCACTGGGGTAAGTCTCCCCCACCTGTGCACCCTCCCTGACCCACGCAGTACCTCTGCACACCTTCCCCAACCTGAGCAACACCTTGTGCACCCTTTGCACCCTCCCTGACCCATTTGGCACCCCTCGTGCACCCCTTCGCATCCTTGCACACCCTCCCTGACCCACGCCTCTCACCTGACCCACATGGTGCCTCTTGCACACCCCCTCACGCACCTTCCCAACCTTCTCGTGCGCTCCTGTGTACTCCCTCTCTCCCTCCCACACCCAGCAGCAGCCACTTACCTGCCTGCAGGTCTGGGACTTGTAACTTCCTCCCAGCTTCCCCACTGACTTTGGTTGTGGGAAGCTGGCAGGAAGTTGCCTCACCTAATGACCAAGAGATTCAGTTAACAACGAGAACTGGGACTGCAGGGATTGCCATCGCTAAGCAATGCGGTTGCACTTTACAACTGCATTGCTTAGCGATGGATATTCCAGTTCCAAATGCTGTTGTAACTTGAGGACTACCTGTAGTCAAATACGATAAAAATAGCCATGTAATGCAATCTTTTCCCCTAATAATTTTATTGTATTTGCAATATTCTAATGAGCTGCAGTATTAAACTACTAGTAAGCCAAAATTCTATATGCCTTGAACTTTTTTTTATAATAGATGTATGAATTTATTTTGGAATTGAAACCGAGACAGCTGATTCATGTTAATCAGTCCTTATATGTGCTGAAGTATGTTGACCAGTCTTCCCCCAAAGAGCCTATAGCTTAAAGGTAGCTTATTTAAATTGCAAAACCAAATGTAAGAGTTAAAAAAAAACACCTTTGGGTTGTATTTCTGATTTAATTTCCCCAATAAAACATCATTTGCTAATAGAATGCTCTTTTTTTCCCTTATCCCACTCCACACATACCCTAGATCTAGTTTAAGGGTCCCCATTTACTTTTAAGAGAAATGAAAGGAATTCCCATCATACTAGTGAAAATCTGTTTAAATAACATTAGATTAAGAACAAGAAGATGCATAAAGGAATTTAAATAATTATTTCAAAATATAAACATAGGTTAGTAAAACATTTCACAAGATTTTCAAGACATAAATTAAACTGAAAATAACTACTGGAGAGTTTAGCTCAGATTGTTACTCTACTGAATATGGTATCTCTAGACAAGTATGCCTTCATCTTATCCCTGCAACATACCTTTTAGGATAAAAAAAATTCTGTGCTACAAATAAAACATAAATTTATGGTGGCCTTAGTTAAATATATATTTAGAAAAAGGTGAGAAAGTTGTGCTTAATGTTTGTATGAGTAAGATGTTTGCAGAGCTACCACTGAAAGGACTTACCCACTTACCTTCTTTACCTCTGGTCTGAGACAGCCTGCTTACTGGTCGTTGAGGGCATGTCCTTGTATTAGCACAGCAAAGTGAAGCTGGATTAAGGTTATTTAACAGAAGACTGGCATTTGTTTTCTTGTGCAAAATACAAGAAAACCTCCTGTTTCAACATTTTTTGTTGCACGGAGGAGGCATTATCAGAGAGTCCATGACCTGCTGCAGGACTACCCCTCCCCCTTGCATCTGGCCATAGGGATCTCTACCTGGGGGGTGGGGAACGGAGTAACTGGCTGTCAAAGAGGTTGGACACCTCCTTTGTGTAGCTTTTCCTTCCTTTGCTGGTGGCTCAATCTGGGGAATAAGGACCTTGTGGAAGACCTCATTATTTTGATCAGTAAGCAGCAACACACAGCACACCACTGATTGTCACCCAGATCTGAGAAGCACCAGGGAAGTGCGGATCATTCAGCTTCCCTCTTTCTGTTCTCCCTGCTTGTCTGCCCTACCAGGAGAGCCACAATTGGTAACCCAATAGCAGCAACAACAACTGCTGTTGTGAGGGCAGCAACGCTGCAGAACTTGTTGTGGAGACAAAGTAAGGAACACAGTGGAGAAACTGATTTTCAGATGGCATACTTTTCTCCCTTTCCAGAACAGGAGGAAGGTACAGTGGGGAAGATAACAATGGTGTTGAATTGCTTCCCTTTGTACACAGTCTGCCTGATAGTGGACTGGTAGAGTCCAAACTCTTTGGAAATAGTTTTGTCACCTTTTCCAGCCCGGTAAGCCTCAACAGCTGTTTTTCAGAGGTCCTCAGAAATCTCCTTTTTTGGAGCTGTGACACACTTCCACATATCTGAGTTGTGAAAATAACATTTTGATAGTGAAGAACCAGAATTCTGTTCTTGAACTAAGGAAGGAACTCCCACATACACCTGATAATCACCCCATTGATTGAAACCCCTGACCCTAATTTCCCCTTCGAATGGACTGATAATCCTAGAGCAGTGTTTCTCAACCTTGGTAAATTTAAGATGGGTGGACTTCAATTCCCAGAATTCCCCAGCCAGC